TAATAGTGTTGGATATTTTTAGGTGGCACTAAAGCAGGGTGGGATGAGAGGAAGAAATAAGAAGTTGCTGTTAATTTTGATTCCAAATATACAGAAACATATACAGCAAACCACATCGAGTTGTGAGGTGATCTGAGTGTTAAAAAGCAGGAGTAAGAAAAAAAAAGAAAGCCTCCTGTGAGTTTGAGGAGCAGGCAGTTGGCAGCAGCAGAAGGTGCCAGCAAAGGAATGCTGCTGAGAGTGCGAGTTCTTGGTACAATCCTGCATCAGCCTCTCGCTGTGTGTTCAAAGAGGGTTTGTGTGTGGTTGCAATAATTTTGTTTTCATTGGAGCAAGAAGGCTTTACAGTTTAACTTGAGCTTTGCCAGTTTTGGTTTTTTGTTTGTTTTTTTTTTTTTTACTTTTTTTACTTTAGAGAGCACTAAAGAGACAAAAGGAATGTACAGTCTGACAACATACTCATTTACTAAAAATCTTGAGGTAAAACTCCACCTGTTAGCATAAGCAAAGTTATAAACTGGGTTCTGCAACTTCACCTCTACCATTCATAGTTTGTTTTCCAGAATTGCAGCCGGCGACACCAAACTCTTTCTTAGCATGTTTAGTTTCTTCTTGGATCTCCTTCGTTATAGCTTTTAACTCTGTTATGGTCTGCTAGTCCTGCTGCTTTTTCATCCTTCTAGTACTTTGGACCTGCAGTATTAATTTTCTTAGTAATCGTCGTGAAGCAGATGAAGGGCAAGGACTGTGTCTGACCTGAGTTCAGTTTGCTTTATTATTAAAATTCCTTCTTCCCAAAACACATTGGGGGTGAATTGTTGTTACCTAATTGTTTGTGCAAAGCAAGGGCCTTCCAGGACACCTGAAAGAAAATTAGTTGATTTGGGTGACAGTGGCAGGCGTGGGCAGGGAAGGAGACCATTTCGTGCCCCTATTGCTGTATCTCTCATGGGTTTCTTCCTTTTCTGCTGAATGCTGATATCCCTTTAAACCCCTGTGTTTCCACAGGAGGACATTCTGGCTTTGGCACCTCTTAGGTCTGTTCTGTCTCTGAACATTAAAGTCTTTGCTGATGTACAGATTTCTTTTTTTCCCCCTTGAGAAATTATAAAGCAAAGAAGTCCTTTTTGTGACCATTGGGGAAATAAGGCTCTTGGATCTGACCACACTTAATAATTACTAGTTCAGGGCAAATGCTTTATTTTGATGCTGCATCTCTTATGTGCGTGTGAGGTCTGGTATGTGGGAGTCCCATGTTCCAGAAACCTAAGTTTTGTTTTCCAATTGAAAGAACTTGGCTTCATGGCAGTGAAGATATGCTAGCCAAAATAAACAGAAGGTCAAAGTATGGGTTATTTTAAGTCCTAAGTAGGATACCAGGATTCTTAAATCATATAGAATTTGCCACCGTGGATTACATCATGACTCTGAAGATGCAGGATATGCCACATCAGATAAATAGGTTATCCGTTTTATCCGTTGTGTTAGCCAGTTATGAAATGGGCAGTATTTGGCTACCAGCAAAAGTCAAAGGACCAATTGCAGTACCATTTCTGCCTCCTTCACCAATCCTTTGGAAGGAATAACATGCCAATAAAACAGTCATTATTTTACTTACATTTTTCTTACCTGGTGGGTTGGTTTCTCTTATTTGTCTGTTTGCTGTCTTCCACTTTCATCCAAACTTTGTTTTGTGCAGAAAGATTAAAGCTGCTTTGCTGCAGTGACAACTCCAGTTAATGAGAGTGTAATGAGTTAATTAGAAATTGTCTATGTATAACCTGAAATGTTCAGATTTATACTCTGTTTCTATTTAATCTGTGAGGTAACAGTCTCCAGGTGAAATTATTCCCTGTAGAAGAATCATTGACATCAACGAGTGCTCAAAAACTCTTGAGAAATTTAGTTATAATGTATCTGCAGGGATTTGGCTGTGTTTTCTACAAGTATTTCCAATTGTGGGACTTTAAAAGAGCAGAAAGATATACTGGAATGAGCTTCAGGGAGGGACAGGTTCTATGCTGTGTGGCTGATCATAAAGAAATCAGAGAAACAAACCAAGTTGAATGGAGTTGCAAGTGTTCAAAGCAATTGAGTATGCAAGCTTCAGCTGCTGTCATAAGATTTAGGGTTGGTAAAGGTAATGCAAATTTTGGCATTGGTTGGGGTGAATTTTTAAGTAGAGGATATACTTCCCAATTTGTGCAGGTTTGTCTTGCCTGGGATTTTTTCTTTGCAGTACAGTAATAAATGTGTTAGGGAGAAGCAGAAACTGCACTCCATCCTCTTCTCCCTCCTTGCATGGCTGCACCCAACCACCACTGATGCTTCTTGAATGGCAAATCACAGCTCCTAAATTTGACAGTGTAGACATAACTGAAGAGATTAAGTTTTAGAGTTGTAATTGTGAAAATGTCTACTTCTCCTTATATGTTTAATTTTTGGTAAATATTTTGCAATCTGGGAAGATTTAAGAAAATCCCAAACAAAGTAAATAGCTAACTTGTAATTGGAAGCAGCTGATTGGAGAATTTTGTTACTGCTTTACATTTTAAAAAAGTTAACTGCTGTAAAATTGTGGAAAAAAAAAAAAGTGCACTTTTTTTTAAAATCAAGAACTCTGCTTAGACTGTTTAGGAGTCATTCTTAGGGAACTGAAACAGGCTAGTCTGCTTTAGGTAGCCAAACCACGTGAAAGCTTTTAAACTTTGCTAGGTAAAGAATAATGCAAACATACCTGCAATAGGGTATGTTGCCTGTGAAAATTTTTAATTTTATTATTTTTCTAATGACTACCTGTAAGATTCCACCAGAGCAGGTGGGTCAGGCTTTCTGTTCCCTCTTCCATTCTCATGTCCTGAAGATTTTAGCAGGGAATTTGGTAAACTTTAAATCTCAGTCATAGTGAAGGGGCTCCTTTTTCTGAAAGCTGGGCTGAGGTGACTAAGGCTGTGGTTCTGTCCCCAGCTGCTCTGGCACTTGCTAGACTCTCTGCTGAGCTGGCTTGGTACAGTAGCAAGCAAAAATCTAACCTGACAAAAATCATAGTTAAATAATACCAGCTAAATTGGGTAGGGCAAACATAGAACCAGAGCCTGTGGATGTTGCAGAGGGGTAGGTCCTAAATACAGCTATATGCAAAAGTACATATCAAGCAGTTCAATAAGGTTTTTTTGTGTACCTTTGTGAAATCTAGGGTTTAGTTTCAAGTTAAGTTGTTAATTATTTCTTTTTTGGTGTCTATGGCAGTGCACTCAAAAATTTATGCTGAATTGATGGAATCCATTTACATTAACTAGAATGGCTTTATTCAATCACACTTGAAATATCAACTTGTCCAGCATCCTGTTTCTGACAGTAAATAGTAAATTCTGACAAGAAATAGTAAATATATAGGGAAGGGAATAATAAAAAGAAACGTTTTATGATCAGTGTTTAAGACACTTCGAAGTATCTGCAGCTTAGAGACTTTTTGAGACAGATGTGACATCCTTGACTTTAAAAGCTCTTCATGGAGCTTGCATTTGTCCAATTGCTTTTTGAGCCTGTAAATTTTTGGAACTCATTCCCACAAGACACTGTGGATCACGAAGTTTAACTACGTACCATGTAGAGTATTTCTATGTAGTTCTTTGAACCTGCTCCTTAATGTCAACTGATGTTCCCTAGTGCTTGCATTTGGAAAATAGTTGTGCTTTATTTATCTTCTCTGTGTCACCTATAATTCCATACTCATTTTTTCTGACCTCTGTGCTCCATTTTTTCAGGCTGAGCCATATAAGTAGCATATTTCTAGTTTTACTCTGTCTTTTTTGACAGGGGAGGCTCGACTGCATACATTACTACATCTGGGGGTGCACCAAACCAATTGTGGGTTTGGTTTGGCTCTTTTAGTTCTTTCTAAACAGTTATGTTTCATTTTCTTTATGATAGCTATGGAGCTAACATTTTCATTGAACTGCGTGACTATGTGACTGATCTTTCCTAACAGATAGAGCTCCTTTGCTAGGTGTGTTATTTTGCATTTGCCAGTATTGAATTTCTGCTGTTCTCTTGCACAATCCCTTCACAGTAAAAGTGTTTTGCAACTGTTGTAATGATGCTCAGGACCTGATATGAATTTGGAACTACATTACTCTTGATATCATGCAAAAAAGAAGAGTACTTTGGTTTCCCAAGATGATTTTAATCCAGGTGCAAGGCAGAGGACAGCAGATGAATATAAAGAATTGCAGCAAAAAATTTATAAGCAAAGCTGCAGTGGTTTGCATAGACATCCTGAAAGACTGATAAGAAAGACTACTAATAAAGCATTTTTCTGAGAAGTTAGCCCTTCTATTGATTTAATAAGCAGCATCAAAGGAAACATTAAGTGCTTGTTTGGCAGTTTTACAAGCAGAGAACAGAGGCTGCCAGCTGTTAGCATGATGGAAGCAGCAGTTGAGTTTTTGGTGTTAAATGAGAGTGGATAGCTGGTGTGAGAATAATCCAGGGGGTGAGGGGAAGTAAAAGCAAGCAATTTATGGTTAATGCCATGGAGCAAAAATCATAAGGGAAGCAGAGAAAGGGTAATGTGTTAGCCATACAAGTCAGCATTTCTGTAGGTTTGCTAGAATAAGCAAGGGGAAGTTATACAAAGTAAGTTGTGTGTGTTCTGTTTGTCTGCTGTGGTTTGGTTCAGTATGTACTGAGGATAATGGGAGCTTTGCATCCATCGTTTCCACACACTAAATTGGGTAAGCAGTGAGTGGAGAATCAATGGAGTCTGCAGCGTGACAGGCTGTGCTGCAGAAAGGAATGCCAAATTATTTTCTTCCAAGGCACCAAAGCTCCAAGAGATTGGTCTTGTCTAAAACATCACTTCAGATGCCTCCTAGTCATGAAGACCTCACTTGACATAACACTGACAAAATGATAATGAACAAAAGTGTGTATTTTTCTTAGTTTACTACCCAGCATCTTAAAAACAAGAAAATATGACATTCATTTTACTCTTCTAGTTCTAGGTCAAATGATTAGTTCTGTGGCAAGATAGCATGACACTTTGAGTATGACAGAAGCCCTGATGCTGCAGCAGAGGCTGGGAATATTAATGGCCAAATCTAGGTGAGTGATTTTTAATTCTGCCAGTTCCCTACCTGTTTAATTTCTTCCTTATAGCCTTGGTTCATATCTCTCCTTTGAAGCAGCATTGCAGTTCTTGGTTTTCTGAAATATTAATATTAGAATATATTTAAGACAAAATAATGAGCTTGTATGATTATTGATTACATAGCCTTTCTTTGTCATTCTTGAGATACTGAGGCTGTACTTCATATATCTTCATATGCTACAGCTTTCTTCTTGCAACTCCAGTGATTTTTTTTTCCCCCCAAACTGCTTTGCACTTAAGTTTTGAAGGGTTTTTTTTAAGTTTTCGGACACCTGCCTTTAGCAGATTTGATCAGTTATTTTATGCTGAATGCATAGAAAGTTATGATACAAACATCATGCAACTATCTAGTTTTGTTTACACTTTGTCAAAACATTTGACGAGGTCTAAGTGCATGCATCTGTGCCTGAAGGCTGCAACCTGTTGTATGGAACAGAGTTTGAAAAGCTTTGCTGCAAATTTATATATTCACTGTTAATCTACATTGCAGCTATTGTGACCTGTTGCTCCTCATAGCAGTAAATAGGGCAGTGGCAGTGAGCTAACAAGAACAGCATCTGAACATTACTATAGTGAGACATTGTGGGGTGCCAGGGCAGGAAACCAGTAATAAACTATTACTGGTTATTAGCTATTACTACCTGTATCTCCCTTTCTAAATAAAACAGGAAAGAAATAATAAAAAAATTAGTAATTAAAATAACAATGGGATGGATGTGTGAAGATTATTAAAAGTGGTCTATAACTGAGTGATTGGACTGATTAATAACATTCAGAGCTTCTCCTCAGTGGGCCCAGTCCTGTCTATTATCTTTACTGATGATTCGGATGAGGGGATTGAGTCCACCATTAGCAAATTTGCAGGTGACACCAAACTGGGGGGGAGTGTTGATCTGCTGGAGGGTGGGAGGGCTCTGCAGAGGGACCTGGACAGGCTGGATAGATGGGTCAAATCCAACTGTATAAGGTTCAACAAGGCCAAGTGCTGCATCCTACACTTTGGCCACAATAACCCCATGGAGCACTACAAGCTGGGGACAGAGTGGCTGGACAGTGGCCAGGCAGAAAGGGACCTGGGGGTTCTGATTGACAGCTGTCTGAACAAGAGCCAGCAGTGTGGCTAAGAAGGTGAATGGCATCCTGGCCTGTATCAGGAACAGTGTGTCCAGCAGGACCAGAGTAGTGATTGTCCCCCTGTATTCGGCACTGATGAGGCCGCACCTTTAGTACTGTGTCCAGTTCGGGGCCCCTCACTACATGAAATTTTGTTGGTGTGCTGGAGTGAGTACAAAGAAGGGCAACAAGGCTGATGAAGGTCCTTGAGCACAAGTCCTATGAGCACAAGTCCTATGAGCTGTTGAGGGAGCTGGGGTTGTTTAGTCTGGAGAAGAGGAGGCTCAGGGAGATCTTATTGCTCTCTACAACTACCTGAAAGGAGGTTGTAGCCAGGTGAGGGTCAATCTCTTCTCCCAGGCAACCAGCAGTGGGACAAGAGGGCATGGTCTTAAGCTGTGCCAGGGGAGCTTTATGCTGGACATTAGGAAGAAGTTCTTCACAGAAAGGGTGATTGGGCATTGGAATGGGCTGCCTAGGGAGGTGGTGGAGTCACCATCCCTGGAAGTGTTTAAGAAAAGACTGGATGTGGCACTTGATGCCATGGTCTAGTTGACAAGGTGGTGTTAGGTCATAGGTTGGACTCAATTGATCTCAGAGGTCGTTTCCAACCTAAACAATTCTGTGCAAATAAAAATAAATTGTTATATGTGACATGGCATCTCTCTACAGCACTAGAAGCAAACAAACAACCCTCCAGTTTCATCTTGATTTGGAAAAAAAGTTCTCTCAAATTAACGCATATTTTTGTGTTATGATGAGAAATTACATTAAAGAATCCATGATTTTGATTATGTGTCTGGCATCCTGCCTCTTTCTGACTGGATTAATCCAAGCCATGTTGCTACACTTTCTGTTAAGTTCTTGCTTCACCTCTGCAAGGGGTTGATGGTAGATTTATAAAGGTTTATACAGTCTCTAAGGTAGAAGTATCTCTTGTGAGTGGCTTTTCTGATCAAGAAGAGGGGAAGAGTTAGATGCTCTTCATTGCATTCCTTGCACCTTATTTCTCAGCAGACTAAAATGCATTGTGGATACTACTGCTGCATGCTAATACAAATGCCTGTCTAGAAAATAAGTCATAGTTTTCTTAAGGTGACATTGGATTTTTTTCCCTCTTTAGTCAGGAAAAGTTATCAACCCATTCTGTCTTCTTTCTTCTTGATTCCTACTGTCATCTCTCTTGTTGACTGAATAGCTTTCTTCCAGGATTTTGTCCCATTTTTCATTTGTGTAGTGAAAATTTTAGTTCTTATGCAATATAAAGATGATGTAAATGGGTTAAGTTTTCTTCTGTCTGACTTCCTCATATTTAAGAAATACAAGGCTTACCCCTCTCTGCATGGTGATAGAGGGAGAAGCAGCAAGTTGTGTGAACATTTTGTCGTACTGTTTTATGAAAGTTTTGCCATATATAGAAAAACCTGTAAATGAAAATATCAAAAAAATCAAGTATTTATTTTTAGTTTCATTAATTTAGGCATGCAGTTCTGTGTTAGTTGCGTATTTTACTATTTTATAGCAAATGTATAACAATTTAATTCAAATGGTACTTAATAGATTCCCCCCACCCCCAAATTTTAAAATATTTGTGTTGAATGTGAGTTTTTTCTTCCCTTGACTTTGATTACATAATTTGATGTACATTGCTATATGGGAAATATTCAAAAGTGGAAGCACAGAACTTCACTGCGTGGCTGCCAGCACAGGGCTCCCTCCAGGCCTGGAATGCCTCCACCCTCTCTTGCAAAGCAGCCCTGGAGCTGCCAAAGCCAAGGCAGCCTTTCAGGATTGCCATGTGAGCTCTTTGTGTTGCCTGTGCCTGGTAACCTCCTACAGCCCAGGGCTTTTAGGGGTGGCACTAGGGCTGTGCTCAGCAGCCTGAGCCAGGGAGTCATCATCTAGGCTCCGGTTTAGGAGATGAAAATCACACTCGGTAAGTTGTTGGGTTTTGTTTTCCCCTAAGCTGCTACCATGGGAATTAAGGTGATAGATCAGATGTGTCTGTTTGGTAGTAACCTCAGGTTGAATTATTGGTAGGACTTTAACAGCTCAGTGTTGCCACTCCTTAATGGCAAATCTAACTTAACTACTATACTTGTAGTATCTATGTTGATTTTTTGTTACTTATGATAGCAAAATTCATCATGAAGAATTGTAATTTCAGAGAGTAATTTGCATTGGGTTGTTTTGTTGATGTTACTCTATTTTTACTTATGCTAAATGATCACTTTGTTGGTTGGGGTTTTTTTTTCCCTTTAGAGATCAGATGGTCTTCTAAAGAAGTCATGGGTAGCTGTTGTAGCTGTCCAGATAAAGAAACTGTCCCAGATAACCACCGAAACAAGTTTAAGGTATGAAAGTTACGTGGTATGCTGTGAATTATTTTGTTGCTTTCTTGCAGAGTAGGTCTGGGATTGAAAAAAATTAAATGAAAATAGAGTGCAGATTTCTGAATAGTTGAAACATTGCAGAGTTGCAGGTGTCTGTGGCTACAGGTTTCTCCTGCCCCTTTGAGGGATCCTCTTTTACGAGTAGTGACAGGAATTGCCTAGATAGAGTAGGCTTTTTACGACAGTTTTGATCTTTAGGGAGGAGAAGAAGCCCTGTGCTTTGATCCATCTCCATTTCAGTTGGTAGGGGCCAAGTAAGTGTTGTTGTCTCTGGGAAGTTACAGAAGATAGGGAAGTATCCATGAGCATAAGGGAAGAGCTATTAGAGAAGTGTGATTGTGAACCTGAATGCAGGGTCAGCAATAGAAAATTTTAGGACTGCTGATTTTACTTGAAGGTCACTACTGATTGTAGCATTTTGAGAACTTTTGCCCTTTACTTGGAAGAAATTTATTTCTAAATGTGCTTTTGTCCCATATATCTCTGGAATTTATAAGCTTGTGAACACTTGTTCATGTGCTTAACATGCTAAACATGAAGCTGCTGAAGTCAGTGACTTTAAGTAAACATACCTTTGCATAGTCACACAAGTCAGATTTGCTTCTGCCCTCCAAACTCTGAGTTGACAAAGGAATGTAATACCTCCATAGTGAAAAATGATTCATGTGTTGCCTTAGGGAAATGTTTAATATTGTCAGTAAAGAAAGCTGAAAGATAAAATATTTCTGTTTTCTTGCTCTTTATGCATTTGACATCACTTTGTGTAACTAGTTCCTGATTTTCTCCTTATAGAATTTCTCTATTGTTTGGATCGCTGATTTAGCAGCAGGAGGGAGAAGATGAAAGAATGTAATTTGCAAAATGAGGAAAATTGGCATAAGCCTCAGTGGCAGATGAAACTATTCCTAATTCTTTTCAATTGACTAGATTTCAAGTTGAAAATGTCTCTTTAAGGAGTAACATTAATTCCATAGGGAAAATTTTTGGTAGCTTTTTAATGAATAATAAAGAATTGCACTAAAAGCAGCATTGTGAGATAAAATACATGCAGGGGAAGATATATATTGTCCAAATTCCATAAAGGATGCAGATGACCTCAAAATAGTTTAAATGCAGAACAGAATAAGAGTTGAAGCTTTATACACGTTTTCACACAAGGTAACTATAGGGTATTTGAGTTATTTGTTGACTTTAAAAAGGCAGCAAAATATCTAAAATTGTTGGGTGCTTCAGCACAGTGTAAGGCTATACATGTACGTGAAGGAAGCTTTATCTTGGAGCTGCTTACCCTTTTTTATTCCTTTTCCCAACTGTAAGTGGGATTATATGACAAAGCAAATACTTTTTTTTTAGAAATGGGACTCTGAGAGGTTCCATTATCTGAGGAATGCCTTATGCATGGGGAAATACTTGAATATGTACATAAAGCCAGTTTAAAAAAAAGTATTTAACTTATGAATCTCTTCTACTTTAAATTTCTCACCAGATTTTACAGCAATGTTAGGCAGTTTCATTTGTATTGCTTTTAAATAAGTAGTATTTTAATTTTTTTAATTCTGGGTTGGGGAAGCAAAGGAACTAGTTTGGTGAGTTGTTCTTTTTTTCGTTTTGGTTTTTTTTTTTTAACAACAAGGATCATAACTAGATTATTAGAAGTGGTATTGTTTCTCAAAAGAGTACTTACCTAATACTTTTAATCTTATTTTTTATAGGTTATTAATGTGGATGATGATGGTAATGAACTGGGTTCTGGCATAATGGAACTTACAGATACAGAATTGATTTTGTACACTCGTAAAAGGGACTCTGTAAAATGGCACTACCTCTGTCTCCGTCGCTATGGCTATGACTCAAATCTTTTCTCTTTTGAAAGTGGTCGAAGGTGTCAAACTGGACAAGGTATGTGGAAATTTTGTATATAAAGATTTTTGAAATTTATTTGATGTTGGAAGATATTTACCGGTCCTTTGGCAAGGGTTATAAAGGCTATAGTTTTATATGTGAGTGTGGTTTCTGGGAAAAAATTACCTTATGAGGAATGAGGATTTGAGTTGCACATAATTTCTGGCATTGTAGGTCTGGAGGACTTAAAGCTTCTATGTGTGAATACTTTTGGTCAGCTTAAGAGGTGGTTTTGACAGGGAAATTCTCCTGCCTCAGAAGTTGCCTTGACTTTCAGGGGGAGGCAATAGGTTCTGGAACTGTGGAGGAATTTCTTCAGAATTCAAAGAATTATTTATTTTTAGATTTTAAAAGACTAGAGCGCTGATATGAACTGGATGTCCCCACCTTATTATTATCTTCAGTAACATACTTGTGTTTCATCTTCTTCCTAAAGCAAATTACCACTTTCAATTATATCAATGACATAATTCTCAAATTTTTACATGTTTTGGTATGAAGTGTGTATACTTCAGCTATGCTCAGTTATTTTCTGTGTGGCTTTCACTGGAAGATAGTTACCTTTCCAGTTCCCAGACCATTTCTGCCTTGGCCAAGGTTGGCTGCCTCTGAGAAGATGCAGGCTTTTCTCTCTTCACTGCAGCAGTCACTGGGGAGGATGTTTTGGTTGAGGTCTTGACCTTATTTTGTATCTTTCTACTGTGAAGTAGCTGTGTGTAGTTGGAATTCTTATGTATTCATATGTTGTGAAATTAAGTTGCAATTTTATTACAAATTTTTAGCATGTACTAGTGGTTTTTATCAATAACAATATTTAGAAACTGCGATTTTTGTTTTTTAATTTCACTGTAAAAAAGTCAGGAAGATCAAAGAACTTGATCATAAGTAAACCTGGTAAATCTTCATTGTCCAAGCAGAGGTAAGGGCAGACAAATTCTTTTTTATAAGTGTTTTAGAAGACATTCTCAGTTTGTCTCCTAATGAGAAATGGAGATGTTTTCAAATGTCACAGTACTAAAATAAATTTTCAGAATTCTAAACAGAAAGTAATAAACTTTGTTTTGAACATAATCACTGTAATTGATTTTGCAGGTTTAATTTATTGCTTCTTTTAAACATTGAAAAGAGATACTAATAATATTTAATTGAAAATACTAATTTGAAGGTTCTTTTCCACAGTCTATTAGCAAGTGTGCAAAATTTTCCACCGAGTCTAATTGACTTCTCCGCTTTCCTCCCAGTTGCTTTATTCTTTTTTTTTTTAAACAGAGAAGATTAAGCAGGCTGTGTAAGCAGCAACTCTTTCCTCCCTCTTTTGTTTCTTGACTTCCTTATGTAATATTAAAATACTGTGAATATTGAGAAAAAAGAAATCTGGCAGAAAATGTTCTTTGCTGCCCTTTTGCAATGGAGCATTGTTCCTGAGACCTACACTGGGTTTTGTGGGCACAGTTGCAAAACCTCATCTTCGCTTTGTGTATTGACTGAGTTTTTCATTTGAGAATTCACTGACTACTGCCGAGCAACTTCTTGCATTAGTCAGTATTCTTGTTTGTGTTTTCCCTTTAATCTCAAATTATATCTATTGTTAAGTTGTCGTAGTGCACTGATGGTGAAACATTGAGTTTGTGCTATGTGTTAAAAAACTTGTGTTTTAGGAGCACAGCTAATAGATAATTCAGGATAGAAGACTTGAAGAACCTGGTGTGTCACCATGTTGTGTGACAGATCACATTGTATTTAATATGAGTGTATTTAAAGGCAGCTGAAGTTCTTGGAAACATACTGGGAGCTTTACAAGCTTGTGAACCTAGATTTTTTTAAATTCTATTTCTTGTCCGTTAAGATTTAAGTATCAAGTGTGAATTTTCAGAAATACACAAAATATTAAACGTGGACTATTGTACTTGAGCTGGATCATTGGTCAGGGAAATAAAGTAGTAGAAGCTCTGTAGCTGCAGTGTTACAAGCATGAAGCTTATTTAGTGCACTAGCTCAATATTAATCATTGAGTGTCATTCCTCCTAGCCCGCTTGGTATATTCCCAGCTGGGTTTTTGTGAACCTCTGCCATGTGGAGCATTTCTTGTAGTTCTGATCTGTCACAGTTCTGCGTCCCTAAATAAATATATGATGATAGTAATTGCCAGCATATTCACATAACTGCATTTCCAGTAGGGGTAGCTATATAGATAGGTAGTTTTTAGTAAAAAGTGTTTTAAGATTGTAATACTCACTTTGAAAAATGAGCACCTGCACCCACGTTTAACAAGCATGTCAACTTTAACTTCATGCTTTCAATGGAAGAATAATCCAAAGCTGCGACTTTGCTGGTGAGGGTAAGTTGGGACGCTCCCTGCTTTTCAAAGGCAAAGTGGCACAATACACACGCAACATACACGGTATTGCTGCTAACTTTGTGTTCTGTGTCTATTAGCCTAAAGCAATTAGTTTGTTACTGTCTGTTTCACACGGTTTGTCTTACTAGCTTTTTATTTTAATCCTCTTAAGGAAACTAAGCTTTTACTCAGTGTTTAAATCCTTTTTTGTTATGCAGGTATCTTCTTTTTATGGTAATTTAATAGAAATCCAATTTAGGAAATATGACCTTGTAGCACCACTGTAGTTTCATTTAAAGATTTTTAAAAATTTATTTAGTAGGTATCCTTTTTATGAGCTTAAAAGAAAGAATCTTGGTGGGGTTTCCCCCCCCCTCATTTAGCACTCAAAACTTAGTTTTGCTCTTAACTGAATCAGTTTTCTGTTCTAATTTAACTTCTGGTGCATGGGAATCTTATTCTTCTATGAGATAACCACTTCAAAGGTTCTCACAGTAACTTTGTGTGTTTTGGTACAATAAAAATTTCATAACATTTTTACTTCTTTAACAGGTATTCATTATGTGGATTCCAGTTCTATTTCTTGAAAGTTATATATATTGTAAGGCATGTTTCTTAGTTAAAGGATTTTTAATTTTTTTGTGTGTGTGTATTTGTAGGAATCTTTGCCTTTAAATGTGCCCGGGCAGAAGAGCTATTTAACATGTTACAAGAGATAATGCAAAATAATAGCATAAATGTGGTAGAAGAACCAGTAGTAGAAAGGAATAATCATCAAACTGAATTGGAAGTTCCAAGAACCCCTCGAACACCTACCAGTAAGTATGGTTCTACTGTCAGATGACATACCTGAATGTAATGTGGTACTTAGCTGAAAATAGCATTTGATTTGCATTTAATCTTTAAATAATTAAAAAGAAAGCTAATTTAAAGCTGAGACTAACTACCAGTAATGCAGTCTCTTGAGGTACTTGCTGAGGATTCTCTTTGGAGAACCCTAAGTCTTGGAAGCAGAACTGCCATAGTAAAGTTCTTCACCTCTATGAAATAAGTTTTGGGAACTTAGTTGTTGCATGAGAACACTTACAAATACACCTATTGAATTGCTTTATAATATATCAACATGTTTTACATGTTTTCTGAGAAATGTTAATGTTGGGCAATGTTCCAACCTTTTTATTAGGGGAAAAAAAGTACTGGTAAAACCACATGTACAGTGGCTTTGGAATCTTTTTCTTTTGCTCGGAGTAGGAGGACGGGCAGACTGGAGTGCTTTCAAAAATACCAGAAGATTTTAGGTAATCTCACGCAGATGGCTTGATATTTGAAACTAGGAATTCCAGGTTGTTGATGATTTTAGAGGAATGGAAGCTTAGTTAAATAAGTCTCTGTTTGTCAGGGAGACATGTTAATGATAGAAAGTTGGATAGTGGGAGGACTGCAGTGTGTAATACACCCAGGTTTAGGTTTCATGGTTGCTTCAGTCATGTTTCCCAGTAAATACTGGGATGCTATTCTCTGTTGTGTTTCCTTCCTCCAAGCAAAATTGAGCCTTGTGAATATTTAATACTGTTTTACATATTTTAATTTCCCTTTTGAAAATTAAAAATGAATATATAAAGCATCTTACTAATATACAGTAAAATGTTCTATTTTAATATGGTTTTGCTTGTTTTCTAATTGAATCAGCTCCTGGGTTCAATGCACAAAGTTTACCTAATGGCTATCCCAGATACCCATCTTTTGGAGATGCTTCATCACATCCTTCCAGCAGACATCCTTCTGTGGGAAGTGCGCGCCTCCCCTCTGTCGGTGAAGAATCAACACATCCTTTACTTGTAGCAGAAGAGCAAGTGAGTGGGTTTTTTCCCCTCATACAACTTAGGTTCCACATTACTTCAGATTTTTATAATGATTTTTCTGTAGGCTTTCACTTGTGTTTTTCAGTGTCAGGTGTAATGTATTTCTACCATATTTTAACTACCTCAGAAACGTGTTTATTATATTATTTTTATTATATTTTGCCTCTTTAAAATGATACTTTGTAGGATAGCTTCGTATTTATATACAAATAAAATATAGAAAGTATGTATTTGCATTATACTATTTTAAAAAATTTCAGTAATTATTTTTAAACACAAGTAATTGTACATCATAATGAGAGATCCTGGTCAAAAAGCTTCTTTATATGTAAGTCTTCTATTTGGCAAATAGAAATCATGGAATATTTTAGGTTATAAGGGACCTCTAGTCCTCCAGATCAAATTTTTAAGTTAGAGACAGCTGCACAGAGCCTTCTCCTGGTCATGTTTTTAATACTGCAAACGAGGGGATTCCACAGAACCTGAGCCATGTGTTCCAGTGTTTCACCACCTTTGTTGTGAAAACATTTCTCCCTAATATGTAATCAGATTTTTTCTTGTTATGGCTGTTGTCCACTGCCCTTTAGTCTTTTGCTGAATATCTCCAAAAAGGGTGTGGCTCTGTCTTCTTTATATGTTAGGTAGTCAAAAACACCTGTTAGATGGTTTCCTGGCCTTTTCATTAAGACAGAACAAAGATGGTGCTCTAGGTTCTCCTTGTATGTCACATGCTCCAGCCCTCCACTACACTTGCTCCAGTATAATGATGTCTGTCTTGTACTGAGGAGCTCAGATTCAGTCTCACAAGAACTGAGTTGATGGTAATAATCATGTTCCTTAACCTAGTAGCTGTGCTACTGCTAACACAAACCAGTGCAAGTTTGGTTTTTCATTGCTGCCAGAGCATGCTGCTGACTCACATTTGACTTACCATCTACCTGGACCCCCAGCTTTGCTGCAAGGCTCCTTTTCAAGTCAGTTGGTGTCTAACCTGTTGGTGGTGTTCTGTACCAGGCACTGGACTTTGCATTTGCTGTTGCTGAGGTTTCCATGAGGTCAGTTCTCCAGGCTGCTGAGATCCCTCAATGGAAAGCCTACCAGTCTGGGAAAGACTGAAAACTCTCAGAGGGTGTGTTCTCTCTCATCATTCAGGTTGCTGATGAAAATGTTAGATGTTAGTCAAGTTTAATAATGTCATGTGGTTTAGGAAGATTTCTGTGTGTGACAAGAAGCAGTGTTGGAAACCAGAGAGGGTAACCAGAGCAGAGTGCAGTGAACTGTCTTGTGGGAAAGGATTTGTTAGGAGCCACCACAGAATAGTTCAGGTGTTATTGTTGGAGTTCTTGAAGAGTAAATGAGTTAAAGTATCAGTGTAGGAGTCAAGTGAGCTGTAAATAACACTTCAGCCTGTAGAGCTTGACAGAGAGGTTTGGAAGGCTACACGACTGCTGCTGTAAAATACTACTTTTGCTGTTTGGGTATCCAGACATGGAATTAAAATTTAGAGAAAGAATCCAGTGTTTCCCATTCAGCCTTGTGTTGATCCACTTTGGGAAATTGGAGGGATAACCTAATAGTGTATTTTTTGCCTTTCCTAGTAGCATATGGTGACAATTCCTGCTTCTATTTAATTCTGAGTTCCACTCTTCATATGGAATTATATATTTTTCTACTTCGGTTTCTGTTATTATGAAGCTGTTGGCTCTTGAAGAAAGAATTGACTGTTCTTTCAGTAGACCCAGCCTCTCTTTTTGTTGCTGCAGTGGTACACAAGGCAAGAGCCTGAGGGTTTTTTTAGGTCTTTCTATGGTTTTTTTTGTTTTGATTTGCAAGTTTCCTTTGCAATGTGGAAATTACAAAGACAAATTTAGGAAAATAACTGTTGGTCGCTGTCACGGTAAGGAACAACAAAGTAAAGCTCTCACTGATCTGTCCATGTGAAGTAATGAGCTAATGGATGTAATGAAGTAAGGAGCAGCCCAAGTTTGCCCTGATCAGAGCAGAGCTGTAATAGAACCTGAAAAGTGAGAATTAGAGCACAACCGAGATAAAACATCAAATAAAACTAATTATTAATCTAAAATATAAATTCTGTTCTTTTGTTATAGTAGCATTAACAAAACCAACAACAAAATTTCAGGGAAAAACCCAAAACTGACCACAGTTCAACAAAATGTGAGAGGTGACCTTTACTCTTAAACACCTGCCATAACAAGATTTTATTTTCAGGTATTTTTATTAGAAAAGTGGGGAGCTAAGAAGGAAAGAAATTTGGAGGGGACAAAAGAGGCACAAAGAGCATTTGAATTTCCTCTTTTTTTCTTCTTCTTTTAGGTGCACACTTACGTCAACACTACTGGAGTACAAGAAGAAAGAAAAAATCGATTGAGTGTGCATGTGCCACTGGAATCAAAGCTTTCAAACACTGAAATAACTAAAGTGAAAGAAGATCAGATGTGTACTGATGACAGAGATGCTCAGGTTCTCCTGGAGCCTGAAGGAGTCAAATTTGTTTTAGGACCAACACCTGTTCAAAGGCAGTTAATGGAAAGAGAGAAACTGGAGCAACTTGGGAGAGATCAAGTTAGCGGCAGCAGCACAAACAACACTGAATGGGACACTGGGTACGACAGCGATGAACGTAGAGAAACACCATCTGGTAATAAACTGGTGTATGAAAATATAAATAGGTTATCAATCCCTAGTGCCTCAGGGGTCAGGAGAGGTCGCTTGACATCAACCAGTACCTCAGACACCCAGAACATTAACAACTCTGCTCAGAGGAGAACTGCGCTGTTGAACTATGAGAACTTGCCATCCTTGCCTCCTGTTTGGGAAGCCCGCAAGCTGAGTAGAGATGAAGATGACAGTTTAGGACCAAAGACCCCGTCTCTGAATGGCTACCACAATAACCTAGATCTAATGCATAATTATGTCAATACAGAGAATGTAACAGTACCAGCAAGTGCTCATAAAATAGAATTTGCACGACGTCGGGACTGTACCCCAACAGTCTTTAACTTTGACATTAGGCGTCCAAGTTTAGAACACAGGCAGCTCAACTATATACAGGTTGACTTGGAAGGTGGTAGTGACTCTGACAACCCTCAGACTCCAAAAACCCCCACCACTCCACTTCCGCAAACTCCAACCAGGCGCACAGACCTGTATGCTGTGATAGACATTGAAAGAACTGCTGCTATGTCAAGCTTGCAAAAAGCACTGCCCCGAGATGATGGTACTTCTAGGAAAACTAGACATAACAGTACTGACCTGCCTATGTGAGCCTGGGAAGCATTGAATCATTTGCACCTTTTGTGAAGTTTATAACATTGAAGATGCGAGTACTTTGCATTTCTTAACACTAATGCCTTTTATAGACTAATAGAACTTTTTCTGCATACTTCATGTACTTGTCTAACTAAAGGGAATTAATGTAGAGCAAGTATTCATCTAGGTAACACTATTTCATTCTACAGTAGAAGTTATTACTGCATAGCAGCATCACCACCTTTCACAGTGCCTCTTTAATTGATTACAGTCTGAGTGACATGCTGTTTTTGAATTTATAAATATTCTGGTCTGGTGCCTATACTCATTAATGGCATTTATAACACTTTTTAAAGCCTCTTGATATGTGCATTATTAGCAGGTAAACCTAATCTTTCAATATACATATCTTACATTCATTTCTCATTGAAGTGGTTCCTCCAGAATGAAATGTATGTAATACACTAATTCACTCAGTTTGACACACACAAGATACATTGGTTCATCTCAAGGAATATAAACACCATACCTTTTTTGCCTGTGGGCAAGAAGGCCTCTAATTCCTGACAGTTTTCTCATCTTGTGTGATTTTTGAGAGGTCACATTGATGTTCATTGATCAGAGCTATAAACACATCTAAATCCAGCCTTAAGCTCCTTCCGCTAGAATAGAATTCCAAGTCACATATCAAATTCCCTGTGAAATCTGGCAAAATTTTAATCCCATTAAAGTTTTGGGGTTTTTTGTGAAGGAATTCACAGGTGGGCTGGATGAATTAAGGCTCTCTTGTCCTTTCTTAGTTCAGTGTCCTTTTCTTTCTTTGCATTTGTATGTTTCTTTTTTATTTGTTCCATAATGTCTTGGTTTAGAAGTCAAAATTTTGTACATAGCTTTAATTATTGTTCAGGGTCATATATGTGTTTGTCTTACTCTCTGCATTTGACAAAGAAAGACTCTTGAAGGTCAAATAGTTGTCTTTGTCCAGTGTTCTACTTTTTTATGCCTGACAGAAATATCCCAGCTCTCCAGCAGCATGCATTATTGCACAACTGGAAAGGTTTATTATGCAGTTATTGTCTTCCTCTAAAGCATCAAACACAGGTTACACGGGAGGCAGGGTACTGGACTTGATAGTTCTTTACAGAAAGTTGTACATTCTAGCAGTGTGCATCCATAGGTGATAGTATACTTTAATTTAGAAAGATATGTAGTAAATTATCTGAAGGTAGTATTATCGACAAGCGTAATTCTTTTCCTTTTGCAGTTGGTGAATTTGGTCACAATGATGGCTGCTCAGTGTTACAGGTACATCCAGGTAGAATGTTCTTTGTTGAATATGCCAGATGCACCCTTAGAAGTTTTTATTTTGTTTTGTTTATTAATACTCTGAATAATCTTAGAATTCTGGCAGTATTGCAGGCGCACCTTGGTACTAGCAGTAGAAGAGATTACTCTTGAGCCTGTGATTGCAAAGGAACTGACACTTGTGTGAACTGGTATGATGTAAAATAACCCCTGAACTGTGAGGAAAAACATGCACGAAAAGCCATTTGGAGATCTGGAAAAGCATTAAGGGTCTTCATGCAATATTTGAGTTGAAGTTTTATGAAAAAAATCTACAGTTATTTTCAGTCTTTTAAATTGGTGTGTATTTCTGTTCCTCTTTTTTCTTTGGTCTTCTCTCATTTAGTAGTGGCATCAGTAGTAGCACCTGAAATACATGTGTCTTGCCACACCATTAGCTGGTATCAGGCAACCTTTTCACTTTGACTTTCATTACTTTTTACAGACTGTATGGTACTGAAATACCAGATGCATAAAGGCCATAATTTGCAGAAGTAAAAGATGAGAGTCACTGAGACCATTATGAGGACCTTAAACAAGATTTGGAAAAAAAAAACAAACAACAATCCTCATTAATGATTTAATGATCAGCCTTTGCATATTCTTGTGATAGGCTTCTTGACTTGTGGGGAGACCTTGGTACTCAAAAAGGTAATGACTACCTAAAGCTAGGCATTTTACAGGTCTGCAGTGTCTTGAAAGGAGCCAGGTGGGGGTCAGCCTCTTCTCCAAGGCAACTAGCGATGGGACAAGAGGACATAGTCTTGAGCTGCACCAGAGGAGGTTTATGTTGGACATTAGCAAGAAATTCATCACAGAAAGTATGATTAGACATTGGAATGGGCTGCCCAGGGAGGTGGTGGAGTTACCGTCCCTGGAGGTATTTAAGGAAAGACTGAATGTGGCACTGAGTGCCATGGTCTAGTTGACAAGGTAGTGTTCAGTCATAGGTTGGACTCGATGATCTCAGAGGTCTTTTCCAACTTAATTGATTCTGTGATTCTGTGAGTGTTCCCACACATCTTTGCCATTGCCTCACCTTATGCTATGGACCAGTCTTGGTCTGTACTGAAGAGAAATTACCATGCATTGCAAAATACTTACTGGGTTAATAATACTGGTGTGATTCTTGTTCTTAGTGTATAGCTCACTTAAGTTTGTGAGCTGAACTAATGCTTCAGCTTGTGTTTTGAGGCAAACGTGTTTGATCTAACTAGCTGCTTAGAAATATTTGGTCCTCATCTGTATAGGTTGGACAAATTAATTGGACCCTAAAAACACACCTGTGAGGCAGGAAAGTAATATTCTTAAGTGCAAAGTATGGAAACAGGTTTCAGGTAGATCGTAAGTGACCTGCTGAAATTTCAACAACCAGACGTATCTCTCCTTAGTTCCACTGCACTGTCCTATGCATTTAGTCTGAATAGTTTCAGATAGAAGGAATGGTCTGAAAATTTTTTTATCTTATTGCAAGTTTCACAATGTTTTCCTAGCTCTGGTCCCCAGAATTGATAACATACTGAAATTTCAACTTTTTGTAGCCTTAATTATACTAACAAGTCTGATGACATATTTTCCAGGACTACTTTTTTAACATCTTACTTTTTACAGGTGGGATAATGCTTTCTCATTTTGTATATGCTGCAAACATATTGAGTATTCCCTGTTACCCACACTACTCATCTTTAGCATTCCTTATTTTCTGCCCCTTGAAGTAGATGCAGTTGCAATGCACTTTACTCTTTTAGACTTGGTAAATATTTTTTTTCAATTTTTCTTTTAAAGGCTGTGATGTTAGATTTAGTTTCTGTAATCTAGGATTCGGTTTTTAGCTGAAATCTCTCCACAGTATTTAGATCATATTTATTTTGGGCCCACAGATGTACAGAACAAGAAACTACAAATGTGTAACTATTTTCTTTAATAAATGAGGCATGTTAAGTTTACATAAACAAGGTCCTGTAAAAATGGTAACATCTCCATCAGTTCTATTTTTCATCCATGATGTGCGGTTGGCTGCTGCCCTTCAAGTATATTTGACAAGGGAAAGTCTTTAACTCTAGGTATTCCTTTAATGCAATGATTTGGGAAAGATATACATTAGTGTATCTTTTAAACAAGGAAACTGAGTTGGTAAAAAAGATGAAACGGTGACCAAAAGTACATAATAAAGATTGTAGTAGAAATACAGGTAGTGAGAATTTAATCCATTGTTATATCAGGAAAATAATCTTCTGTTTCCCCCAATAAATACATTTTGCATATGAGAGGGGTTGAATGTGATGGTGTGCATTGAAGCACTATTCCTGTTCCTATTAAAGTCTGCAGAGCGTTTGTAGGAAACTTAAGTGTTCGAGGAGACATTTCATATAATAAATTGCTTAAACCCCCTGGTGTGTGTGTGTGTGTGTGTCCCGCCCCCAGATGTTTGGATATTTGTGTGTGTGTTTACACCTCTGACTGGAGCTTGGGTGTAAAAAATGTCACAGAAATGTGTAAGCCGTACAAAGTCCAAAACAGAGCTGCTTTGGTATGTGACAGACCAGCAGTTGATTTTGCTAGTTTTTTAACAGTGTGTATTGGCTCAAAATCTAGCTGTCCTTGTTTTTGTTTTATATTTAACGACTTCTCAATGAGACAGAGTTAGGAAAGAGCAGATTGTTTTTATTGACTGTCGGTGAAGTAAAAATGGAAGTTCTGATTAATGTCAGTTACTGCTTTGAGCATATAACGATGTATCTGATTTGGACCTCTATTTCTAAGCAGTATTCTCTTCATGTAAGGTGGGATCAATGGTGAAGTTCCATTTCTGCACTGTAGTAATTTATTTAATGGCTGCAAATAAGATGAAACTGATGGAGTAGGAACTACTAGTGGACTTAAATCTGAAATTCTTCTATTTCCCCTAAAGGAGCTCGGTCCTTCACTGTGATAGATAGAATTAGGTGTTTTTGGAATTTAATGATACGATCTTTCCCATCTCTTCCTTGAGGTAGCAATTCAGGCATTTATATTGACAGTATTTACTTAATATAAACCTAAGTTCATTTATTATATGTTTATTTTAAATTCATATACACTCCAAGAAAAAAACAAGTCCAGAAGAAATTCCACCACAAAAAACTGCGTTAAGATGGAGTCAAGTTTGTTGATGTCCTTCTTACAGAACATATATGAAAAAGACAGGAAGTCACGAATTGGGGTTCTTTCACAATCTTTAGGAATTACTTCCTCTTTTGGAAAAGATAAGTGCATCAGAAGAAAAAAAAAAAGAAAAAGAGCAACCTAGCATCTGCAACTCCGACCATGTATATATTATTTCTTGTGGTACTGTGCTATAAGATATGTTACTAAGTCTGCCAGATGTCTTAGGAGGATATTGCCCTAACACAGTGTTTACTCCAGATTAACGCAGTATTTTGTTTGGAAATATGTAGGTGTACAGATAGAATATGAGAGATAAAGTTGAGGAAACGAGTGTTGGACATTTCTATATTTTTATATATTATGAAGGGCATTTTTGAAATTTTTCTTGCAGTTTTAGTAATTATTTAGCGTGGTAATATACATATATTGTGACAACGTTTTCTGCTATATCCATTATTTTGGTGTAATTCTGTTTTATGTAGCAAATATGTGTATATACAAAGGAAATTATGTAAAAATTACGATTAAAAAATAGGCTGAAGCCCTTCAGAATAAGGACCGTCTTCCTCTGTGTCTGCAAAGTACTAAATGCCTTGGGGTCCCAGCCAGAGCTCATGTCTGAGACCCGTGGTGACTGAATTGCCAAGCGATGAGTGGGGGGAAGCAGCTCCTCTGCTTCCCATGAGAAGCCTTAGTGCAAAAGGTGCCATGAAACTTACCTTGCCAATCCCTGGTGCTGGGGCTGTGCTGTTCATGGTCATTCCCAACACCACCTGCCAAGCAACCCAGAGAGCCCAGAGTCCATGTATCCTTTGCTCTGGTCCTTCCCTTTGACAATAGGAAAGGAAGTCTGAGAAGAAGGTTTGGTGTCATCAGGGAATCTTCCTTGTTAGCAGGGTGACCCTTCCAGAGCTTGTTGGGTCTGCATGCAGTGTCCTTTGAAGCTGAACAAATGATTCATGTTGACTTCAAGGGCCACTGGATATGTTCCTACAAGATCAAGTTCTACTGACAGCTCTGTTACACCTGAAGACCTGGTGTCAGGTTCTTCAGGAATGGTCTAAAAATACTGTAAAAATATAAATATATTTAATTACATGTACTGAAAAATCCTATTTGTTGTGGTCAGAGTTCAGATAATTACAGGAATTTTGATTTCTTAGTCATACTTGCATATATGTTGCTTTGACTATTGTGTATGAAAGAGGAAGTGATTCTAAATTGAGTGAAAGATTGGGATTACACCTTTTTTTAATGGCCATGTTATTTAGGAATGGATGTCAGCGAATTTAAATCCATAATAATGCAGTTTTTTGCATTAGAACATGTGTGTATATCATACACCCACATTTTATATATAATATATATTTGGTACTAACTTTGTATTTTCCCTGGAATTTTGCCAAATCGCAAACACAGATGTTCTCACTTGCAAGACTTTGGTACTTAACTGAATGTATAAGAAATGCTCTGGTATGAAAGGAAAGAGTGTTATATGGTGTCCCACGGTACGGGGACTCGACCAGCAGGCACATTGCCTTTTTCACATCTCGCTTCACTGCAGCATCACCTTTGGTCTCCTCAAAAGCAGTTCTGTGTCTCAGCCCGATTGCAGACAGCTGAATACTGCCCTAGCATGAAAGCTGACTGGTAGGTAGTAAGAATACAGTAGTCACCAGTGTGCCACAAATGCATTTATTAAATGCAGAAATAGACATTTCTACAAAGGCCAAAATCTTATATTGTATGTTCCTTTCTTGTCATTACATTGTATCATATTGTAAGATTATTGTATGTCCTAATTTGCATTATAAAATGTTTTTTCCTACTTAAAGACATAAATATAGCAACTTTGTATAAAGGTAGCTTTCTAGATTTTTATTTCTTTTATATGAAAAAGTCTGAACAGTGGGAGTACCATTGCCAAATTGTTTATAAAATTTCAAGTAATTTTCCCTGTTAAATGAATTTGTTTTTACAAACATTCCATATTTCTTATACTATGCAGAAAGAGTGTATTTTTATGTCATTCCACATTAATCTTAAAAAATTAATTTCACTTGTTTTAAGCTGCCATTATTGAGAAAGCTTACCAAATGTGCATTTTTAAAAAGTGTTATGTATTATGAAACATTTTCCCCCCTTTACCAGTGCCAACTTCATTTGAAAAAAAATAAATTGTAGCATGGCAATAAACTATTGATTTTACATTAAAAATTGTCTGTGGATTACTTGAGTAGTTCACAGGGTTAGTGTCACTGTATTGTCTTTTTTTTTTTTAATAACCTTTTTTTGCTTTTCTTTAAATCATTGCTTCAGGTACCTGTCTCTGCCTTCCTCTTGCCTCCATATTGCACTCATTACTCAGTAGTAAAAAAAAACCCAAACTGATCACGATGATATGAAGTCTTTAAATTTGTCTCCAAATTTCTGTTTCATTTTCTGCTAGTTTTCTGTCACATCTTTGTCATGCACATAGATTTAGATTTTTTTGTTGTGGTAGTACTGTTGCTGTCAACTACGGGCTAGTGAATCACATGCCGGCAATTTCAATGTGCTATATTTCAGAAAACCCAAAAGGAATTTCTTAGCATAGTACTGATAAATTCTGAAAGAAAGAACTAAGAAAATAAAAAGGTTGACGTCCAGGTTGCCTTTTGGATTTCTTCTGGAGATTATAAAATATGGTGGTGATTTTTCAAAATTCCCTATTGCCTCTTTAATCCTTCCCAAGTCAGTGTTTTAAGGCATAATTTCAATAAAGGTGTATGTAACCAACAAATTAACAAAACCCTAGAAACATCAGGAGATGTTTTGTTTTCATAACTCCTTAAGAAACAACATTACATGGTCCATGCATAGTGTTGGTTAGATAACTTAGACCTTTGGAAACTCAGTTCTCAAGAAGGTTTTCATATCCCTGGCCAACAGTTCTGGAGCTTTTGTGACATCCATTACACGTAATATTTCCCTACTAGCATGATGCAGGCTTCAGTAGAAACTTTGGTTCTTTGTATCTTCATGTCAAAGCATTGAAGAGTTACCCTTTCAGACATATGTGCCATAATAACGATATAACTGGCCTTGCTAAAATTGCTATATATAAATCACAACAAAATGTAAATTTTCAGTTGTGAGCACCTGAAGCGTTAGATTTTGTGAAGAGTCTCTGTTTTCCTTCCTCGATCAAACTTGTACCTGCTCAGAAACTTAGGTGACTGGTCTGACTGAAGTTAAGCCTCAAACTAGATTGTGACTGATGTCTGAATTACTGGTCCTTGAGGACTCTTGCTACTGTATTATTCCTACATCACTAAGCTGCAAGTAGAAGGTCTTGATCTGAATTGAATCACTATCAGATACTGAGGTATGTGGAGGTCTGATTGAGAATTCATCCCTGAGCAATGAAGCCTGTGCCTTGCTGAGCTGTCTGGGGTGTCAAATGGTCTTTGGGACTGAAACATGCTCTGTTTCTGAACCTTGAAAGAGGTGAGGTGATTTATAGAATCACAGAATGGGTAAGGCTGGAAGGGCTCACAGTGGGTCATCTCCCTGCTCAGGCAGGGTCATCCCAGAGCACATGGCACAAGATTGCGTTCAGATGGTTCTGGAATATCTCCAGGGAGACTCCACACCCTCTCTGGGTTCCAGTGCATGGTCACCCGCACAGTAAAGTTCTTCCTTGTATTCAGGTGGAACTTCCTGTGCATCAGTTTCTGCCCGTTGCCTCTTGTCCCATTGTTTGGCACCACCAAGAAGAGCCTGGGTCCTCTTGGCTCCCGCCCTTCAGATGCACTGATGAGGTCTCAGTCATCTGTTCACGGCTGAGCAGGTCCAGGTCTCTCAGTCTCTCCTTGTAAGAGAGATACTCCAGTCCCCTGATCATCTTTGCAGCCCTCTGCTGAACCCACCCCAGGAGCTTCATGTCTCTTCTACTGAGGAGCACAGAGCTGGACACAGCACTCCAGATGTGGCCTCACTAGGGCTGAGTAGAGGGGTAGGATCACCTTCACCTCCAAGAATATACCTGAATGGTAGAATCATAGAATGGACTAAAGATTCCAACCCCCCTGCCACGGCCAGGGACACCCTGAAGTAGACCAGGTTGCTCAAAGCCGTATCCAGCCTGGCCTCGGACACTTCCAGAAATGGGCCATCCTCAACTTCTCTGGGTAACCTGTTGCAGCGCCTCTTCACCCTCACAGTGCAGAATTTCCTCCTGACGGCCGCTGAGCCACAGCTCCGCTCCATCCGCAGGACACCCGGGGCCGGGGCGGCGCTGCCGCGGAGGGCGGGGAGGCGGGGCCGGACTGCGCTCCCAGAGCGCCGCGCGCGGCCGGAAGCGGCGGCGGCTGTGACGAGCGTTCTGCTGGGCTCGTGTGGCGGCGGCCCTGGTTCTGTGCAGGGGGCGGCGGGTCCCGGCGGCACCGGCACCATGGTGAGCGGGGCGACGGCGCCTTGGCCCGGGGAAGGGAGGGAAGGGCAGGGCCGGGCGGGGCGGTGGCGGCGGCTGCGCTCCCCGCGGGCGCGCGCGTGGGGCTTGGAGGCCGCGCCCTTCCGTTCCCGCGCGGTGCCCGCGGGGGGCGCGGAAGGTTCTGGAGCCGGGGCGGTAACGGGCCCCACCGGGAGCACCCCCGCTCCCATCCTTCCCGACTCGCCTAGGAGCGTGGATACGATTGTTCATTTGGTGTCTGATCCTTTTGCATTTAAGGCCTTGGGTGCTTTCCAAGTGTTAGTCCTTAAAGGCACGTGTTCGTCACTGCTATAATTAATTTTCATTGAAATGCAAAACAAAAAAAAAAAAAGGAAGATAAGGGTTTCGCCCAGATATCAAAATACTAAAGCCTTACTGTACTCAGCTAATGTGGTTTTTCGGCTGGTTGTGCCAGTCTTTGGGCTGGTGGGGTCTGATGGTTGGTCGGGCGGATGTCGGATGTTGGAGTGAGGTGCTGGTGATGAGTCTCTCGGTCTCAGGGGTCCCATCAGCGAATGTGCTCTGCAGCCTCTGGGAGTAGGTTGGACTCGGTCTTGTAATCCCTTCATATGACTACAAGATTGCAAGACAGACTTTTAAGAAAGAGTCAAGGTGAATTTATCTTAAATATATTTTTTATCAAAACCAAATAGGGTATAGAAGTAATTTTAATATTAAAACCATTGTTTAGGTTGTTAGTGTAAAGGATTTGTTTTTAAAATGTGTAGTTTTGTTAAAGCTAGAGGAATATTCTTGTGTTAACTGTGTTTTAGGCATCCATTTCTCTTGCTCCAGTGAACATTTTCAAGGCAGGTGCAGATGAAGAGAAGGCAGAAACAGCTCGGTTGGTAAGTTTAATTTTTTTAAGAAACTGGTAGTACTTGAGATAATTAAGCTTTGTCTTTTCTATTGCTAAAAATACTTTCTGTGTATGATGATGTGGAACTTCTTGTCTGTCTTTCCTTGTTATGTTTGTGAACAGAAGGGAGGAGGAGTGTTGTTTAAACTGACAACTAGATAAACTTTGTTGTTCAAAAACTTAAATAATTCGATACTGTAGTTCAGAAGATTGGTGTTTTATTGGAAGGCGTTTCTTCTGGCTTTGAGGCAGGCTTTTTTGGTTTCTGTGAGAATTAAGTATATTTGATCTGTATATCAAAATGTAGCAGTTAATAAACTTGGACCCAGCTCCATTGGAAGAAGTGTGACTGTGGAAAGGTTGTGTTAAAATGTCTTCTTGAAAGCTGTGGGACAGTGTATAATTCTTGTGTGAGAGTAGAAATAAATTGTTCCTTAAGGTATATTTGTTTTCATTTCAGTCATCCTTTGTTGGTGCCATTGCCATTGGTGACCTAGTCAAGAGCACCCTGGGGCCTAAAGGCATGGTAAGGCAGCTGCAAGCTCTCAGTAGTCATACCTGTTAATTTAGCTTTAATGGTTACAGTATGTTTTCAACCAGTATTCTAAATCTTGCATCTTGTAGGACAAGATTCTTTTAAGTACTGGGAGAGATAGCTCTGTGACAGTTACCAACGATGGTGCAACCATCCTGAAAGCTATTGGAGTTGACAACCCAGCTGCCAAGGTCTTGGTTGGTGAGTTCTTAAAGGCATGATATTGCTTCATTTGTAACTTTATTATGTAGTTTTTATTTGTTCTTAGAAAATTATTCTTGAAATACTGTGAAAAATGGAAGGGGGGGGGCAGAAATCCTGAAGGAAGGAGTGCAAGGTACTGCAAGAGTTGCGGAACTCTGCAAAAAGTAAGATTAAGGTATATGCTGCTCTTCAAAACTGTTCTGGGATGTTGTTGTTTTCCCTCAACTCTGGTTCATCCCAGAACTCAGAAGGAACCAAAGACAGCTGTGTACCCTTCTTTTTTCACTGGGAAAATTTGGAACAGAAATCTACAGGGGAACAGAGGTTCTCTCTGGTTCTCCCTAATTTAAATCTGTCTTTATAACTCAGTGAACATTGTAGTCTGGACAGAGTTTACCTTTGTGATCAACTGTCTTTCTGTGCCAGTGGTCCAGTTCTGGTGACGAGCAGGGGCCTGAACAGTTGGGTGTTAAATTTCTTAATGATTTCATGTTTACTGGGTCCCAGTTTATCAGCAATTCATGTAGCATACTTGGTTATTATAGTGTCTGATGCTGTATGTATACCTTAGAGCTTCTGTCTGGCCATACTTCCTTTTGGTGACCATCTTTAGGACTGGGGACAGGGGGGAGTAGCTCTTGACCATCACCAGGCTGGAACTGGAGCATGGATTTAAAGGATGCTGAATTTGATTTGCATCTTATGTTCTTCTGTGACTTTTTTAGACTTCCCTCTTTAAACAAATAGTTTAGTCTTTCCCAAACTGGTGTGAGAGAAAAATTAATTGAATCTGATACTGGTGAGCATGGTATTTTGAATCAGAACATTAACACCATGTCTTCCTTCTTCAGATATGTCAAAGGTTCAAGATGATGAAGTTGGCGATGGAACTACATCTGTCACAGTGTTGGCAGCTGAACTACTGAGGGTGATGTATTACAGTTTTTCAAATGTGTTTCTGTTTGGCAATGTACTCCTGTGATACCACCAGTAGGAGCTGTGTTATCCTATGTTTGTGAAGAGGGCTCCCAAGGTATGGAAGGAATAGCTTGCTCTGTTGCTGTTGAAATTGATAGGGGAAGAAAACAATCCTTAGCTATTGTTTAATAGCTAATTTAAAAAAATTAGCAATTTTTTTATTGTTT